AAGCGACACACAAAGGAAGCCTGATCAAGCATAACCAGAGAATTTTGACAAAAGTGTGAGGGCCATGTCAAAGCAACAGAGAAAAGATTATATTGTAGTAGTAGTAGTATAAGGTTTTACGGCGCTCGCAACTGCTAAGGTCATATGAGCGCGCGAAACGCAAGTTGTTCACTTCTGCGAAAGTTCACTTCACGACTGGTAACTAATTTACTTTAAAATGCTAAAAAGTTAAAATATTCAAATTCGGTGTAAATACATTTGTGATCTAAAACAACTTTTAAATAAAAATTTTAAATAATATCAGATTCACTTTACAACTCGCCATAAAGGCCAATGGCCTTTATAAAATTTAAAATTCTGCTGGGAACAACGACGGAGAAAATATCCTGCAATTTCTTGCATTTATAATATTTCCTTCGGATCTCTCCAAAGTCTAGACATTCTGTTAAAATGTGTCTAATGGTAAAATCTGTGTCGCATCCGACACAGAACGGCTTCTCCTCTCCCTGTAGGAGGTATTTGTGAGTCAGGGCCGTGTGTCCGATGCGCAATCGAGTAAAAATGACTTCGTCTCTTCTGGAGAGATCCGAAGGATTTCGCTGTTCTAGTCTGGGTTTAATTTCATATAATTTATTATTTTTCTGGTTTTCCCAGTGGCTCTCCCACAGACTGGAGGTGTACTTTTTGACTTTATTTCTAAAGTCAGTCTGTGGGAGAGTGTTTGTCATTGATCCCAGCAGAAGGGATGAGGCTTTCTTCGCCAGGTCGTCTACCTGCTCGTTTCCTCGGATGCCCACATGGCTTGGGATCCATGCGAACATGATGTTTTTTCCTGTTTCGGATAGTGTATGGATTTTCTGTTGTAGCCTAACTATTTTTGGGTGTAAGAGTGTGTAGTTTGTGAGTGAGGTGATGCAAGACAGAGAGTCAGAAAGGATAAGGAAAGATTTGTTAGGAGAATTTTCTACAGAGTCCAGTGCCATGTCAATGGCAGTGGCCTCCGCAGTGAAAATGGAGGCTTCAGGATGGAGTCTCCTCTGGTGTGTATTGTTGGGAGATAGGGCTGCGGCGCCCACTTCATTGAGCGCGCGAAACACAAGTTGTTCACCTCTGCGAAAGTTCACTTCACGACTGGTAACTAGTTTACTTTAAAATGCTAAAGAAATGTTTTGGTGTTTGTGCTTTCT